ATTTTTTGATCCCACAACTTGTGCTCCTTGTATCTAGACTACTTAAACATCACTAGATACTGAGATAATGAAATCATCAGTTGTAGCTATTTTGAACTGGTCACAAGTGCATATTTAGCCTCCCCTTAGTCTTAAATCTCAAGCGCACTTGAGGAGATCTTGATTAATATTGGCAACTTTCCAAATGATGACTATCTTCTCATTTTCTGGCTGGATTTTTTTGGTGGTGGGAATTGGAGTCTTTGAAGGAATATTTTTAGGGGCTTGGTTAAACGACTCCCAAAAAATGGAGAGCCGACTCCCGAGCCCCGGAATCCCTGAAAATTGGGAGTCAAACCCCCAAAACCTTCAACAGGTTTGGGAGTCAACTCCCTAAAAAAAAAATAATAAAAAATGAAATTCCCCAGTTGGTATAGGAGTCAATCCTCCAAAACCAACCAGGGATTGGGGGTCGATGAAACAAAAGACCCCCACAGAAGCGGCCGGGAGGATTCCTCCCAGCCGCTCAGATTACACATTGATGGCCGAGAGGAATCCTCTCGGCCGTCGAGATTCTGCTCTCAGCAGCCAAGGTGATTTCCCTCGGCCGTCAAGAGTATACACCTCGGCTGTCAAGAGTGTACACCTCGGCCGTTGAGAGTATACACCTCGGCCATTGAGAGTGTACACTCTCAACGGCTGAGGGTACCCTCCCGGCCATCGAGAGTGTACGCTCTCGACAGCCAAGGTGTATACTCTCAAAGGCCAACGGGGAAACTACCTCGACCGCCGAGGTGTACACCCTCTCAAAGGCTGTGTACACTCCCGGCCATCGAGAGGTTATGCTCTCGACAGCCAAGGTGGTGTCCCTCCCCCGTTGAGAGTGTATACCCTCAACGGCCAAGAGGAATCCTCTCGGCCATCAAGAGTGTACACTTACGGACAATGAGAGGTGTATGCTTTGGATAGCCGAGGCGGTTTCCCTCGGGCGGTGGAGAGTGTATACCCTCAACGGCCAAGAGGAATCCTCTCAGCAATTGAGAGTGTACACTCTCGACGGCCCAAGGGTACACTCCAGGCCATCAAGAGTGTACGCTCTCGACAGCCGAGGTGGTTTCCCTCGGCCGTTGAGAGTGTACACTCTCGACAGCCAAGGTGTATACTCTTGACGGCCGAGGGAAATCACCTTGGCCGCTGAGAGCAGAATCTCGACGGCCGAGAGGATTCCTCTCGGCCATTGATGTGTAATCTGAGCGGCTGGGAGGAATCCTCCCGGCCGCTTCTGTGGGGGTCTTTTGTTTCATCGACCCCCAAGCCCTGGTTGGTTTTGGAGGATTGACTCCTATACCAACTGGGGAATTTCATTTTTAATTATTATTTTTTTAGGGAGTCGACTCCCAAACCTGTTGAAGGTTTTGGGGGTTCAACTCCCAATTTTTGGGGATTCCGGGGCTTGGGAGTCGGCTCTCCATTTTTGGGAGTCGTTTAACCAAGCCCCTAGTTTTATTTAGGATTCTTAATTTTCTACTTTCCAGGAACATAGAGAGTGGTCTGGAAAGAAAAAGGAAAGCCTTTCATTTGAATCCATGGAGTCTACACTGGTATCCAATACTCCTGGAGTTGGAACCTCAACAGGCTGGTTGGACTTACTTGATTGAGAAAGGATTGGTTGGCTTTCTGTGCTTTCTGTTTCAGTCAAGTTAAAACCGGAATGTGTGGGCCTGGGATTGTAAAAGATTTGGAAACTAAGAGTAATATTTCTTCTCAGTAAAAATATAAATGACAAATGAGTAACAGAAAAATCCTGTCTTACCCAAGAGCAAGGGTATTGGTGCGGTACAATTTATGAGAACAAGAAAGAGAATAGAAAATTGGCTAGTAAAAGCTCTTGAGAAGAATGAAAAGAAAAGGGGAGAAAAAGTGTCAGAACAAGGTCTTTGCACTGCTTGTCAATGAGTTTAAGAAAGAAGAGGAGACAATGTGTTGAGGTGTCTGATAGTCTGCTACCATGATGTATCACTACATGTCAAACCATGAGCACTACCACCCAACAACCCTGGCAGTCACAAGCGTCTGTAGCCTACACTACGGTCATTTGGTTGTCGCATCGGTGTGATGCGACAGCCGTCGTTTTACGTGAGTGTCACTCGCGTGCGACAACAACCCCCAAGCCGAATGCAGCGACAGCAGGGTAAAATGAAGCGACACCAGTGCCTACAAGCGACAAGTATGGGTAATTGAGACCCAAGATATTATTAAAGATTAATGTAAATGAAAATTGAAAATTGGGAGGAAAAAACCTCCCGACTTGCTCTGACTCCACCGTCCAGCCGAGAAACATGAGCTTACTGGGTTGCAAGAATCCTTGCCCGGCTGCATTGTGGATAGAAGGTGACCCTTCATATTAAAAGGCTCATTTCCCAGGAACAACTCTCTCTGCATCTGAGAAGGAGTATATACGACTCGCTCGGGATGTTCGAGGAATTAGTGTTGCCACCAACAGCCATCCAAGCTTGTCGCTCATAGTTCTCCACCATCAACATCCACGACAGTATGTATCCGTAGTGATGAAAAAAAATCAGAGCCTGAAGATCAATTGTCCCATCAAAAAGAATGGTCCAGACGACGATCTGGGTTCGTTCTGGCCGTTACCATTGCGATATCAACCTTCCGAGCTCGATGACAACCCGATCTGAATACTTATAACTGAGCAGGGAGATGGAGTTCATGCTGGGCAGCAGATGTAGCCAACATGTCGGCCATCAGAGTGAAACTTGTTCTATCACTCTCGGTCTGATTTTAATGCCATGTTCCACAACAAGTTAAGCATCTATTAACACACATTAGCTCACCCCCACCGGCCTCGCAGCGTGTTTTATACCTTATGGCCTTCAACATCACACAAAGATCACCGCATATCACAGACAACAGCCAGTTCTGTGTACGAGGTCATGGCAGACAGGACCGGTCATCAATAGGCTTACCGATCATGTATGGCACCTCCCTTGATGACTGGAACTGGACAGCCATCTAAGGCAGTGTGTGCTTTTGTGGCCATGAATAGCTTACATACATAATTTGATCTTGCTCTCTGCGGTTGTTGTTCAGAACTTCAGCTGTAATGGTTTTCTTAATCAATTTTTTCTTCATTTTATCCTTTTTTGTTATATCTTAGCTTGATGTCTCAAAAAAAGAACCAGTTGTTTGTTACTAGAGTCAATGACATGGATATCAAGACTATCCACACACATCTAGTACAAAATTGGAAAAATAAGAATTTGATTACAACAGGGTAGTATTTGAGAAGAGCGAGCATTGTTTGATAACTTGATTTTCAGGTGGGTTAGATAACATTTTCAATGTGTGAGAGTCTAGGTCAAGAAGTTTAGAGGCAACACTTGTCAAGAAGCAGATAGCGGTGATTCAATGCTGAGAGAGATGATCGATATTCTTATTATCCAAAGAAACAGAAGAAGAAGAGATGATAACAATGGGCAGTTTGGTTCTAGAATAGGAGCAATGGAAAGATGAGATGTGAGTGATCCTAGAGCGATGTGAGGAACAACTATGGGTCCAACGAGAGTTACTGGTGGGCTCGCTCCTTCTGGCTTGTTGTTGATCAATCAAATGGTGTGAGGATCTTGAGCCAACTCGGCCTGGTTGTTGGGTTGAGCCTACAATGATTGTATGGTGTGAGAATCCTGTGGACATTGCCATGGGTGTCAGTAGTAATTTGGCATAGGATCTGTTTTTTTAATAAAAACAAACACAAAAAAAAGGAATGAGCATGACTGTCTTGGTCTCTCTATATCTGCTGAGGGATGTTGACCTGATGGAACCGGAACAAGTGATTAAAAGTGATGAGGGGATAGAGAGTGAGTCGTCCTCTTGAGAGTCAAGATCGGATACACTGGAAGCAGAAGTGAAGATGTGCTGGGTGATGTTGGGTGATGTGAGGGGTGCAGTTAGGAGTATGAGAGGTAGTCGTAGTGAGAGCGAGGTCTTTGTTGGAGTCGGAGTGCAAGCGAGTCGGGTTAGCATGCACGTACGAGAGTCGAGAGTGGTGTTGGCTGGGTGATGTGCAGTTTTGGTGGTGGTTCGGCAGTGAATGTAGAGGGGACTTACCAAAATTTGGCTAAGTGGGGCATGTCCTCCCCAAGTTGGGGACTTTCAGGATTTTTGGGTTGGACTCAAACCCAAAGCTCGGAAATGTGTCTAAAGCTTAGTACAATTTGTCTGATACGATGAAATTCAGATTACATCTCTTGGAGCGGGAAATACCATTGCAAGGTTTTTCCTCAGGCGAGAGGGACCGTTGATTGGCGAAAACATTGTGCAACATCGTCACACTAGCAGAATTACAAGCAAAAACAGGAAATGTGTGTTTCTTGACGGGTGGACCAGGCCGGCACGGACTACGAGCCAGGGCAGCAGGGCATGGACGGCTTGGAAACCAGAACCCTCGAGCTTGCTGAAGACAAGGCGCACGGGAACCAAAACCTTGAGCTTGCTGAAGACGAGGTGCACGCTAACCTCATGTGGGATTATATCGAAGGCGTCCAGGACCTCTGGAATAATGTGTGCCCCATACTATTTGATGATGACTGAAGTTGTACATGTTCATCATGGAACCAGAGACAAGTTGAAAGAGGCAATAAATTTACAAGAAGGAACCTCAGAAAGAAAGGAATACGAATGGTTTGTTTTTCAATGTTTAGGTGGTTGGATAGCACTGAACTTGAGTTGATCAGGGACCTTCATCGATGGATCAGTTGGATTGATTGCATGTTCTAATCTGATCTCGATCTCATTGCCTGGTGAAACGGATGATACCCCAGCTGGTGTGCCGGTTTGATTCACGCATGGAAGGGGAAGGATGAATGGGAAATAATTACTCTTCAACATGACTTATGTCTTTTTTTTGCAATTTGTTACATATCTGAACATTTTCGAGCTCTTTTATGCTTGCTCGAAGTTGGGCACATCAGAAACTTCAAACGGAGGCCTGCAACTTAAAAAACTCAAATAAGCTCGGATGTCGCTGCACCAACTCGATAGCTGTCGCACTCGAGTTGACGGGTGTCGCTGCAGGTGTCGGATACCACAATCCTAAACTTGCGCGCTGCGACCCGCAGTCGCTTCACACGGAAGCGACTAGCAAATGACCGTAGTGCTAGTTGGTAAAGGCAGCACTCTAGTATGTGTCTCAGCTTAGCTGAGGTCGTGAGTTCGACTCTCACCAGACACATCTTCATTTTGTCTGTCTCTACACAATGGTAGTTTGAAGACAAGAAGAATTGATAAGGGTTTTTAATAGGAAGATTGAAGAATAAGGTGATGCTGCTATGGCAAATGGAAAGATGAAAATGGAAATGAGTACGGATGATGAAAGTTTTACCTCGGAAACATGCATTGCCTCTTTATAGCAGACGGTAGACGGAAGATAGACAGAACAGTTTGTCTCACATTTGCCGTGGTCATGACAATGTCAACGCCTCTTGGCCTCAAGGGTCTACATTGAGCCAAGGTATCCATTGTGACCTGGCCCGGTTCATTGTTGTTATCTTCCTTGCCTGGTTCATCACCTGGAAGGGGTGGTACAGGAGGGTACAATGGGCAGCAACTGGTCTTGTAAGAAAAAGATACCATCAGACTGTTTGTTGTACTTACGTGGAGGGTTGCCTGAGGTATTCCCTGCAGAAGGTGAATCTTTGTCGGCTGAGCTCGAAATCTCACAGATTGAAGGACAATCTTGACCAAATGCACCATCTTCATTCATTTTCTTATGAAGCCATCCATATGCTGCTTGTCAAGACAGATAAACTGGACAATTTTTGGGCCTATCTGAAATCTACAGAGTCAAATTCATCCACTTAAGTTTATCCAAAAGCAAACAAAGGGAAATGAAGGGTACCATGCCACTTGTCCCTCCTGACTTTTGGTTTTAAAGATGGGCAAACAGATCAATGGAATGGCCAACAGCACTGGACTGAGTAGCTCTGTTTTAGATGCAGTAAATGTGGCTGAAGTGGGGATGATGTTACAGATATTCACAGAAATTAGGATTTCTCAGATGCAGAATTTTTTTTCATCTGTGCAAACTTTATTTTTTGTGAAAAAACAGCAAGCATATGTAGAAGTTAGAACTGCTGTGTTCAAGAGGGCTTTAATGTTGCTGTTGTGTCAATTGAGTGATAAGGACAGAAAACAGAGATAATCTTGTGTCTTTTCTGTTGTTTTTTTGGAGGGCTTTCAAGATGAGGTCCCTTGATGTTGTCTAGACTGGTGCAAATATTGATTTGATACCTTGTCTCTGATCAACCCAAGGTATATTTTTTGGGATGGGGGATGGTGGTGAGGTTATATGAAGGATTCTCTCAAACTCTTATTCCACTCAATTCTAAATGAAGTCCTTTGATTCTCTTCCAGCCAGATTCATCCTCTCTATCCTTTGGTTTTTGGATCATCTTGACTGGTTCCAACATGGCAAGAAAAAAAACTCAGGACCCTCTACTCTCACTCTTCACTCTTTTCATACAACCAATCTTTATCTTGACATTTTTTTCAGTCATGTATCTCTATTGTCTTGTCTTATTTCTATCATTCATTTTTTTTCTTGAGATTATGTCATCTGTCTCATTAAATCAAACCTCTCTTCTTTGAATCTCTCCCACCATCTCCTCAATCTCTGATTTGATCTATTTATTTCCAGTCTGTTTTTGCTTTCAAGCAAAAAAACACTGTCACACATATTATATCGCATATAATCGCCAACATTTTACAACGTATTGCTCAACATTCTGCAAAAGA